CCATGATCTCTGCGCTTGTAATAATAGACTAAAGTTTATTCCTGACAAAGATTGTGTCCTGGCTTGGGATTGTTTCAGCTATACGTTTTATTTGCTGGCTTTTTATCACAAGGACCTTTTCCATAGGGCATAGTAGTTGCCGAGACAAAGCGACAAATGTATGAAAAGTTGGAAATGAAGGAGGACGAGATAGCCCAACTGCATGCTCAGATCAAACAAATAACTACAAAAAGCGAGGAATTAAAAGGACAGAAAGAAAAATCTGAAAGAGACGGTAAGAAATTCTGGAGATTATTAGCTTTCACATTTGAACATGAGAAAGCTTCAGCGTGGTCTTTTTGCACTCTTTCATCTGTCGTTGTTTCGAATGGATATTAAGAGATGCTCTTTTTCCTAATGTTTTACCTGTCACCTCTGCTAACATCATCACTAACTTCACTTCTGGTCAGTAGAGTTTAGGGGTGTTTTTGCCTAGTTTGTCTCTGTTATCAATTCAGCTGGAGTTGGGAAGGAAACTGCTGAAGGGCAGCTGTACTTTCCCATCTGTAGGAGAAAAGTCTGATAGAGTTTTGTGCTGATACAACTTCAGGAGGGAAACTTGCAACTATCGATAAATTATCATTATAATGCTACCAGTATTTTACATAGAAAACATAGCAATGAGTGTATAAGAGCTTGGGAAGAAGTAGAAACAAGAGGATGTGTTACGACCACAATAAGCATTTTCTTTCCATAATTGCAGCGGAAGAGTTTCTGATTTCTTTAGTGAAAGAGCAGTGATGATTCTTTTCGCTTCAGGCGTGGAACTCAGCCATGATGTCGCTATTACACGCTGTAGTTTTGCTTTTGATGGAAATTAGGTAACATTAATTATGTGTGCTTGCAGTTCTCCTTTTGCTTGAAACTATGTTAAAAGGTCGATCTGCCCCACCTTTGTTTTTTAAACAGTGGAATTGTTTTGCACTACATCTATCAAAATTCTTTCAGAAGAATTTAGTTTGCTCTCATAGGCATCTAAAGGAGTTCACTCTTTTGGCAGAAGCTCAGTTGTGGTTAGTTTACATGAAACATCATGCATATTTGCTTTTTCTAACAAGCGATAAGAAGTTCAAACAATACAGTTCATAGGGGTTTATTTTAAATCTACGTAGATTTAGATCAGAACTTTAAATTTTAAAAATTAGTTTGGATAGATCATTCTGCAACTTGAACGTCCAACTTGTGAAAATAACAAACATTTTGCTTAGGTGCCCTCCTCTCCTACCCTTTCGGGTTGCATGTGTCTTTTTAGCTCTGGAAATTCATATTTCAGAAGTCAGTCAGTCATTCTAAAGTTGGATTTTGTTCAGTTCTTGGAAACTAGGAAGATTTTCTTCAGGATTAAAAAAAATGTTGAAGGATATTTTAATACTCCTGTAATGTGAAGTTATTGTCATAGTTGTTTGAAACGCAGCATTTTTTTAAGCAGTAGAAACCTATTAATTATGAACTACTATCTACACACTCTGGTTAATACAGTAATTTCTTTAGATTTGCATAGCCAGAAGCTAAAAATGGATTGGAGATGATGCTCTGGATACCTGGAAAACTTAACTTTTGTAGTAGAGAAGTAATTTCACTTAGAAATGATGTGTTGAGTACACTGCACTTTTCTAGGGGGAAGTTTGTGTGTTAAATATGCTCACTCTTAAATAAAATTTTAAAATGCTTTTGGTTACTTTTCTGGTGCATAAGCATCAACTTTACCTTTGAGTGCATTTATTTTTGTACTCTACTAAGCATGCATATAGAAATGTTGAAACTCTTGGAAAATTAGGTAATCCTACTTCTAAGACAGGCAAAATTGTAAGGTGACCTTACTTGATTTCCTGTTACTTCCTTGGCTTTATGCATTCCAAAAAATACTATGACGTTCAGGGGAAGTGTAGTTCAATATGATTGAACTAAATTGTTCAAGCATTTGAGAAAACCACCATCAATATTGGGAGAGCCTGAAATCACTTCTTCTGAGTCACAATCTGTGAGTTGTACTAGTTTTAAGAATTTGACAGTTTCATGTATTTGAGGTCAACGTGTTTAAAGTTCTGTTTCTTGGACAGTTAATGTGAGATGACTTTAAATTCTAGACTTCTCTTTTTCTATATGATGATTTAGTGAACAATTGACTTCATGGAATATTGTATCTGTAAAAATGTTGATTTCAATTATGGCAAAATAAGGATAAGGATAATACACTTATATTTGGAGTTTACTTTCATAGTGCCATCTTGTAGGCTAAAAAGTGGTGTATTTTTCCACTTCATGTTGTTAACTTGCTTAGTTACACGTCTGGCTTTTTTCTTTGTAATGCAGTGACTTCAGTGAAATGCTCCAGTGTTTGATTTAATGTCAATGAATTTTTGTGTACTGAAATAGTGAAAAGATATTTATGCTTCTTTTGTGCATGTTATATAAACTGTAACTTGGTCTCCCCGGTTGAAGTTCATTTTTTTGTAGTTAGAGGTACATTATGTTGAAATCTCACAGAACATCTTGTTTTTGTGCATCCACACATGCCAATAAGTGAATCATGATGCCTTTCCCAAGCCTTGTATGAACAGGACTGGGGTAAGGGCTCTTTTTTCTTACATCACACATCGGGTGCTTGAACTGGGCTCTAAAAAGTAAATTCTGTGCTTCTCAGGCACTTTTACTTGAAGCAACTGCAACTGGTGTTTGTTTTTTTAATGCTTTGCAATGTACGTAGATTATTTACATTTTACTTCAACAAAGCTATTTACACTATTTGTAAATTTATTGGTAAACTGAAGTTTGTTTCTCCTGAGACTACTTGGCATAAATCCTTTTTTGAATTCTCAGGATGCGGATTATTGACTTCTTTATATTCTGTACAGTAGACAAAAAACTCCCAGTGTTTAGAAAGCAAATTAATTGTGCTTTACTTTGCCATTCTTTGTAGGCAGCATTTCTTTTGCAAGCTTAATTAATGTATGCTTTGCACCTTTCTACAGAGAAACAAAAAGCTTGGACTGTGCATTTAAAGTCCTACCTAGATGCACAAATCAGCTATAGGAAATGAATTCAACCTTTGTTTCTCAAACTTTTGACAAGATGCTTGCTCTCAGCCTTCAGTAAGAAAACATGTAAAGCCCTCCTTTGCCATCCTTTTCAGTGCTTTCTTCACCATTTTCAGCAGTAGATGGCACCATGGTTGAAGATAACAGGTTTGCGGCACCATGGTTGAAGATTAACAGGTCTTGCGGCACCGAGAGAGTAAGCAAGAAGTCTTTGCAGTACGGACTGGTGTTACACTGGGTAGGAGAGGCAAGGTGAAGGGAACTGGGATTGGGACTTTGGAGTAGCGTACGTAAAGCAGTCAACTCTCTAGCGCACGTTTTATCAAAATCCGTTTTGCAGCCTTGCGCTTCTTAAGCTCTGCTCAGACTCTTTTTGTGTAGTTTATATGCTGCACAGGAAGGTTTCCAGCTAGTCTGGCTTGGTCACATAAATGGGATTTTGCAAGACTCACCTCAGGCTCGATGGGTGAGCTTGTTACTGTTTCTGATTTGCCACTGTGCCTTTCTGAGACTTCACGTTACCAGTACCTTGGTTAAAAGATCATCCCTCAACGGTAGCTCCACTGGTTAGGGAGGAACACAGGCAGTGCCTTTACTCTTTGCATTCAGAATAGATGTGTTTGGATAGAAACACAAACTTTTGTTCCAGGCTTTTATCCACAGTAGAATGAACATCTCCCATTGGTTAAAAATAATAGTAATTTAGACCATGTTCTGTCTACTTGATGATAGTTTAGCCCTCTGCTGGTTTGAAACTGGGTTGTGTCGTGCTACACTAGAATTAACTACTTTGAATACAAATGTTCTGTTTTGTTTAAGTGCTAAAAGTGCCTGAGATGCATATAATTTAACTTTTAGAGAGCTAAGTGTGTTCCTATGAAGTGTTGCTTCTTTGTGCATTCATACCGCCTTGACGTTTTATCCATCAGCTTTTGTCTAGCTTTTGTATTAGCATCCTGCTTGCGATTCCGGCGATGCAGCTGTCATACTGCATGTTGCTCAGCTATTACGTATCAGTAGTCAATCTAGTGTGAACCTGGGTCTTCTCTTTGGCGGATTTGTGGGCTATGGCAAATGCATTCTCTTTCCTTTTGCAGAGGTAACGGGTTTCTCAAATGAAAATAAAGTATATATTACTCAGAACAAAATTGGGAAACGTGTATGCAAAAGTGAAATAACTTAATCTTTTATTTGCAGGCTTTATTTTCAGGGTATACTATGTAAAGGTCTGTAGGTTTTTGGTTTTTTCAAAAGCCGTTTATGGTGCTGTAATAATGAAGGACTTGGCCAATTTTGCGGGCGGTGCGTGCTTTTGGTAGGGCTGAGAGGAGCATCAGGGAAGTCGGTGCCGTTCTCCAAAGACCCTTGTGCAGGTTGTGTTCATAACCGAGTTGTGCCCGGGGTGGTGGTGGAGGGGGACTTGAGTCCTGTGGGTCCCGGGTGGGAAATGCCTTGATGGGGACTGTGAAGAACTGTGCTTGGAAAGTAAGGAACTCTAAGCCTCGTGTGTGCTTGCATTCTGTTTTAGACTGTTTTTCTCTTTGAAATAGTCTCTAGTGCTCCTAATTTTTTGTAATGAGTTTTAGTATTTATTATTTAAGTAGAACCAGGAGTGTAGAAGTGGATACAATGATGTGTTTTGGTATTGCCAGAATCAGTAACAACCCTGTTTTGCCCTAAAACATGATTGTTGCTGTGAAAGTAGTCAGAGAAAGGCTTCCTCAGAAAACAGAAGATAATTCTGGAAAACACCAGAATTTGAGTAACTGCAATTTTATGGAATTAAGTTACTTGAGGCAACGTTGCAAATATGTTTTCAAAAGTATAGATTGTGGTTAAAAGGTTCAGTTTTGCATGTTATCAGAAGATGTGGAATGGAAATTATTATTCACTTCTCAGACTCAAGCTTGAATGTTATTAAAGATAGTTTAGAAAACCCAAAGATTACGAGAATTGCTTGGAATACCTACTAAGTAATGGTGAATCAAGGAAACTAGAGATGTGTGTGTGTCTCTTCTTTATGGGATAGAACTAAGTGGAAGAAAGCTTAGCATACTAAATAACACTACAGAACACTATTTTGTTCTGTCTGCTCCCAGAGTAGTATCCAAGCAGTCCCGAGTAGTAGAATAATATACTTTTAGGGGTTTTTTGTGCTCTGATAAATTACAGTCTTGGTAATGGCATTGTGATTTTGAATTTTACAGAGGTGTTTTGCCAAAGTTCTTTTATGCAAAAAATTAACCATATAGTAGACTGTTCTGAGACTGCATTTTCGTTTGATATGCAGCAAGGGTTTTCCACATTCATGATCTAGTCAGGACAAGAGATTTCGCTAATAGTGATCAAATTCTAGTCTTGTGTAGTTCTGTGTAGATCCTGCCACCAGTTTCAGTTAGGAACTCAAATGCTGGTGTTGAATAATAATGATGGTGATGATGATGATGATGATAAACCCAGCTCACAACACAGGAATTTATTTGCTTTCTTTTTATATCTAAGTGATCATCTATGAAGTGAATAAAGTATGTTGGAATACTTCTCCTTAGCATAGGAAGAAGCTGTGGAATTACTGTTTCCAATTTGTAAATTAAAATGTGTTTCAGCAGACTTGTGCATCTTATGCAAATGCAGATAAATTTCATTACTGCAGCTTGAGTGTTCTTTTGAAACATCTTATAGATATGCAAGTTTTCTGGTAGCAAATCTTAATATTTTTTCTTACATTTTATTTGCAAAGTTTAGAACCACAGGGCAGTGTTCATAACACACAAACGTTTTTCCAGTGTCTCTGAATTTTATTGATAGTAGTTTACGTTAAAAATAAATAGTGAAATAATGAAATTAGCAAAGCCATCTGTATGGCCTCCAAACCCACAGTGTAAAGAGAAGATTACCTAGGTTGTACAGTTTGAAATGAACAGCTCTTAGGTAAATAAAGTGCCTGGTATTATATTTCACTGTTCTATTCAGGAAGAACTCTTTCACGATTCGGTAAAAACAGACTTGCATAGCAGTCATTCCTGGTTTATGCTTCCATCTGCTTGTTTTAGTGGAAGAACAATTTATTAGTTGCCTTTTCTTCATGCAGCTTTTTTCTTCTTCAGAGTTACTCAGCACATAGAGCCAGAAGAGGAGCCATAGTTTATTTATATGGTTTATATATTTTATAGTGATTTTATGGGAAGAAATAGAAACTGCAGAATGTATTGGAAGACATTCACAGCTATTTGTCAGTTCTCTTTCCTTTCTAAATAATGAACCCAGGTGAATTCTTGGTGGATTCTTAAGTTCATTCTTCTGTTACTTCTGTAATTTGCAGTTACTGAGAACTGTGTTCTTCTGTCAAGGGACGTAGATATTTCTCAACTATCATATACTTTTTTTTTTTTTTCTTCACAGCATTTAAAGAGCTTGAGAGGGCTCTGAGTATTGCTGAAAAGACAGAGGAAGCCAGGAAAAAATTGGAGGCAGAAATGGATGAAAAAATCAAAGCAGTAGAAAAGGCAAGTGAGGAAGAGAGGATAAATCTTCAACAGAAGTTAACCAGAGTGAAACAAGACGTGGTTAAGATTATGAAGGTAAAAGCTGAAACTCACCCTGTATTATTGGCTTTTAATATAATCATTCAATTACAATTAAACTATAGTTGTAAACTAGATTAGTATATCAGAACTTTGTTATAAATTTTTTTCTATTTATTAAATTCTATAAAAATTAATCTCTGGGATTAAAGATTTACTTAAAACAACATGGAAAACTCCCCATATAGATTTTCTTTTCTCTAACAGTACGTTAGAGGTATGTAAAAATGGACAGTATTACTCTTTGTTTTACAGTATTTAATAAAATTATTTACCAGACGTACACTTGAGACTTTAAAGGGAGTCAAGAAGAAGAAATAAATGGCAGTCAGTTCACACATCTCCACCAGGATTTTTGGTTTTAATACGAAGTATGATAATAATGATTATCCTACCCAATATGAGTGAACATTTAAGAACCTGTTGCCAAGCTGTTTGCTAGTTAACAATTGCTAAAATTTGCTTCATCTGGCATGTTCAGATAGGAGTTGCAGGAGTACTGCTGATGCCTTGCAAAGCTATAAATTTGAACACCTTTAAATTGCAGTTCCGGTGTTGACATTTGTAATGTTACTAATTTTTCTAAGAGAATACACTGATGTTTTAGGGGTATGACTGACTGGCATTACATTATTCTTGAATAAAGCACATATGTAGGTTGTAGATAGCTGTCTACGTAAAGTATCACCACTTTCTGGCTCATGAAATAACAAGAATACAGGGAGAGCTACAGACAGAAGTTCCTTTTCCAATTTAATAGCACATTTGAACTGAAACTGGAAACACTAAGTTCACGTTGGTAGAAGAGTCTTTCTCTGTGGTGTTTCTTTTAGTAGAACTTTGAAAGACTTGAGATGGAAGGTGGATAACTTCAAGCTTGAAAATAAGAACTGTCAGGGCTTAATATTAAGTGCTCTAAGTGATTGTTACTTATTCAAAGGGAGAAAAGAGATTGTTCTGGTTTCCTCTCTCTGTTGCACTGCTTTTCTTATTGAGAAATAATACAAAGTGTTTTGTTGCTTAATATTTTGAAATCAGCTTTTTCTCACTTTGATTCACAGAAGTCTTCAGAGGACCGTGTTGCTGAACTAGAAAAAATCCATAAAAAAGAAATGGCTACCAAAGATCAGGAGCTAAATGAGAGATTACAGGCCCAAGAAAAGGCGTTCCAGGGGAAGTTGAAGGCAGCTCTTGTAAGTATCCCTAAAATGTGTAGAAAGACATTTCTTTGAGTGCGAGGTGGGACTAGAAGTCTTAATCTGGCCCTGTTCCACAGTGAGAGTCCTTTTGCGCTCAAAGATATGAGTGTCTTCCAAAAGTCAAAGAACTCAGAGGCTTCAGAAACATGAAAGGAAAGCAGCTGCAATGATCTGGACTGATTAATGACAATTAATCACTTCACTGCTCACTAACAGCTGTATCTGGTGGGAAAGACTTTTTTTTTTTTTAAACTCTTTTTATTAGACTTGGTTTTTTTTAATTTCTTCCTCCGGATCATTGATGATTAGCCACAGCAACTAGAGTAAAAGAGGTACAAAAAGTGAGGCTCTTATTTGAAAAATGTTGGTATCATTATGTCTGGTTGTGTTGTGTCACATGAACAGGGTTAACTATTCATAGTGTTTGACCTCAGAAAAGAATTTTCTTGTAGGTCAAGCTGGGAGGAATCATTGGGATTCTTTGCTCTTTTCATAAGCTATAATCCACTTCAGACCATGGTGTAATTTTACCTAACAAATAGTAGATTCTCTTTTGTGCTCCTCCATGCTGATTGGTGACTAGGACTGAGGGACTTTGACAGTCTCTTCCTGACTGTATTTTTCTACCTGTTGCTCAGGTTATTTTTTTTAATTATAAGGAAGAAAAGCTTAAAAATACATTAGCAGTGGAATCAAGTAAGGACAGACCTCTATTCTGCTAAGGTGTTACTCTCAATTATTTGTGGTAAACAAACTAAAATGAAAGGCTGGATTACATTATGTTTTTCATACAAAGAGAAGTAGAAGACGAATGGTTCCCAAGAAGAGAAAATAGAAGTGATTTATAACAATTTTGTTTTCACAGATGAAACACAAACTGTGTGTGTAGAAAATAACAGGTGATTAGTGTATGACTCCTATTAACTGGTTTGTAAATATCCTATTATACTGTTTTTGAAGGTGTGATGACTGTATTTATGGTTTATTGCTTTAATCATAATTTTTGATACAGGAAAAAAATCGGAGTGAGTGTTTAAAAACCCTTCAAGAAAAACAGGAGCAAGAATCCCTAGCCTTAGAAGAATTAGAGCTGCAGAAGAAAGCGATACAGTCAGCGTGTGACAAGAAAATTGAGAAGATGCGTCAAAAAGTAGAGACTTTTAGAACTGTGAGTAAAAATTCCAAAAGGGTAAACATTTACAAGAATTCCTTTCAGTATATATTTAACTGTGACAGGTTTGCAAATACCGTGGATTTGTTGTGATTGGGTTGTTTTAATCTCACAGTGTTTCCTGTAGTGACAGAAACTTAATGTATTGCCATGGATTGCTGCAGCCCCTAGTTTTTTACTAGATGAGATGGCAAAATATAGAAATAAATTCACTTTATATCATGGCGTGGGATATGAATTTGTATCCATCTACATATTAAGTAAAAAAAAATTGCTTTAATTCTTTTAAGTACCCTTTGCTTTATGTAATGGGTAAGATTGTATTATCTGCTGATGCAAGTTTGTGCACTATTCCACTGCTCCCAAATACCAGTTTGGAAGTTTTGCCTATAGAAGCATTTTAACTTTACGGCAGCATTTCCATGAGAAGTGGAATTAAGATAAATCAGTAGATATGTAGAAAGCTCCACAAGACTCATGTAGACTCCCGGTATCATCCTGTGTGTTGGTACTTTAGCTTAATAAGAAAATGCAAACGTATCTTTTATAAATACCATGTGAATTATTTTATTTTAGTTAGTTAAATTCTTTCCAAGTTTAATTGTATCTGTTTTCACTGCAGTGCAAATTAAATAAATTAACTCACTGTAATGGAAGCAAAGTTGAGAACAAAGTAGGTGAATGAAAGGGTTATATCAAAAGTTGGTATTCACTAAAAATAATGGAGTAAGTGACTTGTAGTTATGTGATTTTTAAAAAATTTAATCAACTTGTTACCTTTTGAATATTCATACTCTTTTAAAACTGTGTTATCTAACAGAGGATTCTTGAACTGGAAAGCTCTCTTGCAAAGTATTCACAAGATGACAGAAAGCAATCAGAGGAATTAAGTACTCTGATGGAGTCTGAAAAAAAGCAGCACAGTAAGGAAATCAATGATATAGTTGAGAAACACAAGAAAGAATTGGAGAACGTGAAACAGCAGCAGGAGAAGCTTTGGACAGAAAAACTTCAAATCTTAAAACAACAACAAGTAACTGAAATAGAAAAAATGAGAGAGAAACAAGAACAAGAGATAGATACAATTTTGAAAGAGAAAGAAACAGTTTTCTGTGCACACATAGAAGAGATGAATGAAAAAACATTAGAAAAACTTGATGTGAAACAAACAGAATTAGAAGCACTGTCTTCTGAGCTAGCAGAAGCACTAAAAATACGTCATGATTTAGAACAAGAGCTCTCGGAATTGAATAGTAAAGCGTGTGAAACAAAGCAAGAATTGGAAGGAAAATTAGAAGAAGAGAGGAAACGGCACAATGAAGAGATTGAAATGATGTTAAAAGAGCACAAAATGTCTATTCAGGGTGTTGAGAAGGTACTCAAAGAGGAACTCAACGAACTCAAGCAATCATTGAAGGAGAAAGACATACATCTGGAGGAACTAAAAGCACATGAAGAGGAACTAAAGGAATATGCAGAAAGAGCTGAAGCTGAACTTGTCGAAGTGACTGCCAAGCTAGAGGAGCTTTCAGAGTTTAATCAAAGTGCTTCTAATGAGCAGGCAAAGATATATGAAGAGGAATTAGCAAAGCTGCAGCAAAAGCTGTCAGATTTTGAAGGTGAAAAATCACGACTTGGTGAGTGGCTAGAAAGAAATGAATCCCAGCTGAATGAAGTCAAGAATGAGTTAGAGACATGCATCTCTCAGGTACATGACCTGAAGCAGCATTTGCAAGAGCAAAGCAATGAAAATACACAAAAAGTAACCTCTCTGACTCAACAATATGAATGTCAACTGAAGGATCTACAAAGAGAGGCTGATGAGACAAAGAGAAGTCTAACTGAGAAGGAAAATGAAATTAAACACATGAAGAAGGTCCAGAACAAGAAAGTGAAAGAGCTAAAACAGAACCTGTTAGCTGCAGAGGAGAGAATTAGTGCTTTACAAGGAGAATATGAAAATAAACTGAAACATCAGGAGAACAAAATGGAAATGAGTAAACAGAAATCAAAAGTTATGCAGGAAACTTTCAGAAAGAAACTTGCCGAGCAGGAAGCTAAACTGAAAAAAGAGCTTGAAAACAAGCAGTTGGAGTTCAGCCAGAAAGAGAGTGAGTTCAATGCTAAAATGTTGGAAATAGCACATGCCAACTCAGCTAGAATCAATGATGCCATGTCAAAACTGGAATCTAATCAGAAAGAGCAGCTAGAAAGTCTTGCTGAGGCTCATAGGAGGGAGTTGGAAGAAATCACCCAGAGTTGGGAACAGAAGCTCGCTCAGCAGGTTGAAGAGCTCCAGAAAAAACATGAAATGGAGCTGCAAGAGAAAGAGGAGGAAGTTGGAGACCTGAAACAGAAACTTGCCACCTTCAGTGCTGAGAAGGAGGGCTCCAGAACAGAAATAACCCAATTGAGGGAAGAACAGGTGAAAAGGGAGGAGGCCCTGAAGGAACTGCAAGAACAACTAAGGCAGTCAGTGGCTAAGGTGAATGCTTTGTCAGATAAGGAAAGCGACCTGAAAACACAGTTGAAAAAGTTGGAAAGTGATCTTAACCAGTCCCTGAAAGAGCAGTCAGGACTTCAGGAACAGCTCAGTAAACAGAAAGCAGTGGAAGAGCAGGACAAAGCTAAAATTACCAAGCTGGCTGACACACTGAGAATGCTTGAAGAGAAACTCCAGACTCTGCAGTCTTCTCAGGAGAACGATCATGAAAGTTATGAGAAAAAAACAGAGGCAATTCAGCTAAAAGAAACTGAGTTTAAAAGGTGGTCAGGAGAACTTGCAGCCCAGTTAGACGCTTATTGGAAGAACGCTGAAGCTTTATTGCACACAAAAAGCAATGAATTAATTGAAAAATGCAGTGAAAAAATTGGCATAGTAACATGCAAAATTGCAGATTGCGAGCGCCGAACTGTGAAAATTAAAGAAGCGGTATTAGTTAAAACGAGTAAGATACCAGAATTAGAAGCTCAACTTAGAGAAGTGACAGAGCATCATTGTGCTGCAAGTACTTCTTTGCAAAAGTCAATGCAACAGCTGCAAGAGAAGGACAATGTAATTATGTCCATGAGAGCTGACATTGAAGTACTTGTAACAGAAAAGGAACAATTGCGAAAAGAGGAAGGGCATCGGCAGGAAGCAGCATCAGAGAAAGAAACTTGCATAACACAGCTGAGGAAAGAGTTATCTGAAAATATCAATGCTGTCACCTCAATGAGGGAGGAACTGCAGGAAAAAGAATCTGAGATCTCTGCTCTTAAAAAAAGAATTAATGACCTTAATGTTAGACTTGAAAGCACGGTAAGTTTAACAGAGAAGGAAGCAGCCATGTCTCTGTTAAGCAAGCAACATCAAGAGGACCGGTTGCAATTGTTAAACCAGGTACAGGAGTTATCATCCAGAGTTGAGATGCTGAATCAAGAAAAAGCATCAGCTCGTGAACAGGTAGATCATTGCACGGCCAAGCTGTCAGAGTGGAAGATGAAAGCACAAGCCAGGTTTACACAAAATCATGATACTATTGAAGAGTTGCAGAGCAAATTTGAACTAAGCAATACTGAAGCCAATAAAAAAGATGAAGAGCTAAATAAACTGAAGGAGCAGCTGGCGAAACAAAGCAAGGAACTCGATAGTTTAAAAAGTGAATTGGAGAAAAAGCAAAACGGGAGGGAAAAGCAAGAAAGTGAGTTAACTGCAAAGTTAAAAAGCCAATCAGCAAGAATTGCTGAACTAGAAGAACACATTGCTCAGAAAACTTCGGAAAATGATTCCCTGATGGCAGAACTTAAAAAGTCCTTAGAAGAAAAAATTAAGTCAACAAGAGATTGCACAGAGTTGGAGAATGAAATGCTGCAAAAAGTAGAGAGTGTAAAAGCTGCTGCAGAACAAGAAAAAAGTAACATGCTTCAGAGTGTCCAACAGACATATGAAGAGAAAATACACATGTTACAGAAGGGCTTAACTGAAAAAGATGAAATGTTGCAGAAGTATGAAAAGGAACGACAAGAGAGTAATGATTATTGTCTAGAACTGCAAAACAAACAGGGAGAACTCCTTAAAAAACTAGAATGCGTTGAGAAGAGCCATCAGGAGGAGCAGAGTCGGACTGAAAGTCTCGGGAAAGAACTGGAGGAGCAAACCAAAAAATACTCATTGTTAGCAGATGAGCATGCTTGTTGTGGTAGTGTTTTAGCAAGCAGTAGGGAAGAATTAAAAGCTAAAGAACAAAAAAGTCTTGATATGGAGAATGTAATTGGAGATTTCCAGAAAAAATTGCAGGAAAAGGAGGCAGTCAGTCAATCTTTAGAACAGAAGATAAGAGAGTTCGAAAATAATCTAGTGAAGCAAAATGAAGTGCATAAGACTGAGATGGAAAGTATGAGTTTGAGATATGAAGAAAAGCTACAAAGTTTACAGCAACAGTTAGATGAAAGAAATGACAGTCTGAAAGCTTTTGAGGAAAATGCTGAAGAAAAGGCTAAATCTAGTTTGGAGCTGCAGAAGTTACTAAGTGATATGCAGGACCAGCAGAAGGACTTGCAGACTAAACTGAAAGAGACTGAAAGGGAGAAACAGAAACTACGCAAAGAACTGAATAATTTTCAAAAAGACATACGTACTCTGCGAAAAGAACATCAGCAAGAGCTTGACATAGTAAAGAAGGAGTCCTTAGAAGAAATGGAGCAGAAAATCAGGTAAATTCTTTGTTCCTGGTCTTGTTACTGTTTCTTTGCTTTATCTTTAACCACTAAAACCTCAAGGATATTTTTTTAAAGCTCAATTTGTAACAATGAAATAATGACTGGTATTTTTCTAAATAGACTTAGAGAAGCGGCAAGAAGGGAGATACTTGGAAGTCGCACTTCATGAACACATAAAACACTTTTTGAGTCATCAGTTTAAAAAGTGGTTTGTCTTTTGGCAAAGCAATACCGCTTTTGATTTGGTTTAGTGATGGTCATTTTCAGCATTGCCAGAACATAAAATATAGTTCTGTTTTCCGCAATCAGGAAACAAAGTTTATTAGAACTTAGTACTGAGAGCTTCGCGTTCAAATGATATCAAGACTTGTTCATATGTACTGCACAAAAATGTGGTGTACTCCTCAGCACTCATGGTTTCTCAAGCAAGGAATTCCCTAAAAATTCCGCTTTTATGCGACACGTGCTTTACTTCCAGTTCTTCATCTTCCTCAGCAAAAACTCCATATTTTTTGGAAGGGTTCAATTCTGGGTTGTTTTTTAAATGAGACACCTGTGCCTTCCAGGTGAATTCAATAGGAGGGGAACCAAAAGCCTCCCTGAATCCCACAGAATTCATATAATTCAAAACCATCCCGTTCTAAAGTGGTTTTGGAGAAATTCCCAGATCTGCTACCTTGCTAAACTGTTCGTGCACTCTCTTTAGACATTTTATTTCCTCACTGTATTTTTTTGGACATATTTGTACAGATGTGAACGAGAAGACATTGAGTTGAAGCACAACTCCACCTTAAAGCAGTTAATGAGAGAGTTCAATACTCAGCTGGCTGAAAAAGAAAGAGAATTGGAAACAGCCGTAAAAGAGACGATCAGTAAGTGAAATACTAATATAACTGTAATCAGTAAAATAGCTAGAAAACCAAATCTTCAGATGTTTTGGGGAAAGGATTTTACCTGGGATTCTGATAAACACAACATGTGTTTTATGATTGCCTAGGGAACTCAAGGAAAGAGCTTCTCTTGCTCAGGAAATATCATATAAATGTTAATTGCAGCACAATTAGGAAAATGCATATGTAGCTGTTCTTCCTTACCCTGCAGGATAGATCTTTGATCTAGCACTCTTGTCTGTTTGCATCTGTCATGGCAAGAGATACCCATGATAGCCATAGGTACCTATCTTTTTATCATATGTGCAAAAGGAAAGGAAAAAAAAAAAAAAAGGAAAGTAGGGGTTTAGAGGTAAAGGAAAGTAGGGTTTTAGAGGTGAAAGCACATTGATAAGTTCTTTTCTTTGTAATACTGCTTTGGCTTCAGCAGTACAAACCTTTAACACTCCGTTGTTGAATATATGGCACTAAAGGGTGCCTTTTAGAGAAACTTGGACCCATCTAGGAATCAGAATTGCATTTTTCTTAGCTACATCTTGCAGACTTCATTCACTATAACCTCTAACAATTACCAACTGGGTATGATGTCTGATTGCTATACCATGTGGTTATAACTAGAGTACAGCATATTTCAGCTTCTATTTTCTGTCCATCTTTTGCCACTATAGTGTAAAGTGGAGGTTGGAGAAGTGAGCAGAAAGTATCTTTTGACTCCCGGGGTACTGGAAGTACCCCTACAAGTGAGGAATTTCTGAAGATTTGTAGATGTTTCAGTCACTTCTCTAAATAGGCTAGGAGATAGAATTAATTGATAAATATTGGTTGTGATCTTAACTTTTAAAGAAAAATTCCAGCATCAGGTAGAAAAAATTGCTGTGGATACCAAAACTGTAGACAACAAACTTCATATGTATTAGGATCAAGTGACAGAATTATCACTGACTGTGTGGGAGAATGAATTTTCTTGACAAATTTTCCTTATAGATGCCTTCCACAGTTGTCTTTAAGCTTTTTTTAAAATACTGTTGTGACATAATTTCACAAAATAAATAAAATGTGCTTTTTTTATATTGCCTGATGGTTGTGTGGTGTGTTTTTTTGTTTTTTTCTTTTTTTTTTTTCCCATAGGTAAAGCCCAGGAGGTGGAAACTGAATTGATAGAAAATCATCACATAGAAACAACACAGCTGCATAAAAAAATTGCTGAAAAGGATGATGATCTAAAAAGAACTGTGAAAAAATATGAAGAAATCCTTGAGGTAACTTTCTGAAAAGTGATACGACTACGTACATTTCAAAATAACTATTCTCCTTTTTTCATTGCACAACTAGACAGAAAAACTGTAATTCTTTCTAGTAAAGATCTTACTGCTTGAATTACACTTGATATGTGTGGTCACCTAGCTGTGATTAAAATGTCTGTTTCTGTGTTTTATGAACATGAAAGAATACTGAAAATTAAGCCCAAGCTTTGATCATTGAATAAGACTTATACAGTTAGGTCCTTATGTCCTTGAGCAGTTTGTGTTCCAGATTGAAATGAGGAAAGTGAGTGAGCTAAATTTAAGCTTTACTAGAGTTGTGGTGGTAGTGGTGTGTTGTTTCTTTTAAGGATTTAAATACAGTGTTTTTGAGTCAGCCTGACTCTCTACCTCCTTCCTCTGATCTACCTTCTTTCTCTGATGCTCTATTCAGATTGGCACCATAGCCCTTAAAGTAAGGTTCTGTTCTGTGCAGAGTGCAGGCTGCTTGCATAGTTTTTCTGCTAGTAAAGCTTTTGGTTTTGCTTGTAAGTGAACAGTTTGTCTGCATGATATTTGCAAATAGACCTAGTTTTGCTCCAGTAAGAGTTCAACCAGAAGTTTGCAGGCAACTTTAGCCTAAAGATACTTTACTTTCCAAGGGTGCCTCCTGTTTTAGCCACCTAAGTTGTCACAGCCCCACATGTATGGCAACAAAACATTAAATGGTTTTCAGTGCTAGACTGTACATCGTATTGGGATGCAGGTTTCAATTTTGCTAATCTTAGTCCTCTTTGCACAAATAGTTTAATAAAAAAGAATGTCCCTTGAATAGAGCCAGTAGTAATAAACGTAAGTGAACTTCTGTTTGTTTCTGTTCAGTTACCAGCCCAGAGAGCTATGTACTGAACATGACTGAGTGTTTAATACTAAAAATTTCAATCTTGTAGGCAGGTTGGTGTGTTCCACTCTGATCTTTGAACTTCTAGCAAGTTGGATCAAGATGGCAGGGTTTTAAATCTAGGATCTCCTTCTTTTGTTTCCGATTTAGAAAAATTGTGTGATATAAACCAATTGAGTGTTTCTTTTTTAATATATATACCACAGGTCTAAATTCTGCATTTCTAGAGGATTTATATTTCTCTTACCTGAATGTGCAGTGTGTTGACATTCAGGTCCTTGCTTTACAGGCCCAAATAGGTCTGTGATTGGAAGTCATGCAGATGTAATTCCTCTGTGACTTCTAACACATTCAGTCCGTACGTACGTCAGAAACATGCATGCTGTACTCAATGTATGATCTTGAAGGTTTAGGCTGATTTGACTTCTGTGCAGTTAGAGGACACGAACACTCTTATTTCTTGCATCTCATTGATGATGGCAATGACAGTTGCCTGGAACTGCAGTAAGCTCTGGTTTGGTATTTTATATTTCAGAGTACTTGTTTCTTTTTTAGGTAATGGTATATATGTGAGTGTTTTGTTTCTGTTATTTTAGGGCAGGAAAAAAAAAGTTTAGAGAATTTGTTACTTTGTTTCCTAAAAAAGTATTGCAAGCATCTCCAAAGTTAAGAAATATTTATGTTCAGTTGAGGGTATGTCATATTCATTGAGCTTTCTGATAGAAATAGGAACGTATGCATCAGCAGATGTATAGGTTTTCTCAGTTTAGCCTAGTTACCAGTTATTACCCCACTTATACCTGACTCGGCTCATGACAGGTTTGAGAAATTTCAGATCAAGACATTTATGCAGAGAAGTTTGTCATAAATGGTAGAAGATGAAGAAAAAATAGCACCAATTGCAAGAATGAATTTTGGTCATATAACTTTGTAGCTCTTTGTTGCATTTTAAAAATGGTTAATAATGCTAAAAATTAGTCTAACTTGATCTGAGTATATATCCTTAAAATTGAGCAGGAATCATTCAGTCTGTTAAACTTAATGTGATTTATTTGAGAAGTGCTCCTCTGGTACTTCTTTTGCTTTATCTGGTGTTTTCTTATCTTTCATAAAAACTTTTATCACATAGGATTTCATTAAAGTCTCCCTAATTAAAGGACTTGTAAATCAGCATAGCCTGTAATTTGAGGCCTAAGTCTTTTTTCTTCAACTACAGTATATGCTTAGAGAAAAATGAAATGTTGCGCTCCAGCTAGCTTATTTTAAGCCTATCTATGAGCTAAAAATAAAATATCTAATTTCAGGTGTGTATTCTTTCATTTGTCGTAATGCCTCCCATGTGTATACAGGATAGGCCTTGTGGCTAAGATTCGGGAAATTACAACTTTATGGAAGTCTTAGTCTATAACTGTAATTAAATCCAAATAGCATGCAATTTATTTTCAGTGTGCCAGATGCTGTATAAAACAATAAGTTCTTACTGTAAATACAGATTCTGTAGCATGTTGGAACCTGACATGATCTCTGATTACTTCAAATTTTAAATTTATAATCTATATCCAGGAGTTTATAAAAATAATGGCTCCCTTTTACAGAAGTGTCATTTATCCTTTTGAGTTGAATTTCTTGTTTGCATTTCAACTGTCTTCTATGACTAAGAATGATTTGCGTGCAATTTGGACTTATTTCGGTGAACAGTAGTCTAGAAATTGTAAGATTTTTAGATTTTTGATGTAAAAAAAACCCAAACCAAACAACAGCGAGCAGTCTTTCCAGTAATACACTTACTGGATTATACTCAAATGCTGTTTTAATGCCCGATAGAGATAGCTTGTCTTTTGTAATTTTCAAAAAACTAACTGTAATCCTAACTATGTAATCTTAATTGTCGAAGGTCTGCAAAATCTTGTTAAGCTCCTATGTTTGTTTCTTGCTCTTTTCTTTAGTCCTGTAGTGTAACTGTTAGCCTTTATACTGAATTTCAAGCATATTCTTTCTATGTTTAGCATAACTCTTTTGTTGATTGCATTCTGCCCACTGTAGTTAAGGTTTCTGAGTGGTCAGATGATTCATTATATAAGTAATTTTTTTTTTCCTGTATTTTGAAGGCTCGTGAAGAAGAGATGACAGCAAAAGTTCATGAGTTGCAGGCGCAGCTAGAAGACTTGCAAAAGGAATACAAACAAAGGATTGCAGAAGAGGAACGTTGGAACAATGAAAAAGTGAGCTGGCATGAACATTTATTTTTATATCTTTAGGTGTGAAATACTTAATCTTCATAAAATTCTGTAGTTTGCTCTTAATTGGATTTTATTTATCTGTCTGGCCTTCACTTTCCCATACAGTTTCTATTCTTTTAGATGTTAACTTCTTCAAAAGTCAGCCTCTTTAGAATCTGCAGTATTTGATACTACCTTTTTTGAGAGTATGTTAAAAAGTCCAGTTGTGTTGTGATTATTGAGGTGGGGTTTTTTTGCCCTCTACATGTGTTTTTTGTGTTGATTTTACTGGAAGCCCTTTAGAAGGAAAGGAAATCGCATTGGGTCATTTTTAGTGTGATTTTTAAAAATTCAAATTCCAAAGGGCTCTGAAATATAGTGCCTTGAATATATCAATTATGGACAGAGAGGTCTTCATTGAAAGAAGAGTGAGTGCATGCTTTTGTCTTTCTGAGACCACATTTTAGTTTGAGGAATTTTTTGAAAATATTACTAGTTATTATTACACTAAGAAGAGGAAAAGTGTGTGAGGTGTTGAGTCATTGATGAGAATCCATATTAACCTTATTTTAAAATTTTTCACTTTGACAGCAGGCAGCAATGGGGATACTAAATACATTTATTTGACGCTACAAACTTACAGTACAAATTACCTCACTGTCCTAACATTTGTTCCTTCTGCCTTGCACTTGCTTTTCCTCCTTAGAAATTAAGAAGAGTTGTTGTTCTTCTTAATTCTTACCTGTCTTAATTTGTCCGTTGCCTGTCCTCAATACATCTGTAGGAAACTAATTTCACTATTGCCTTGGACAATAGCATGTATTTGCAACTGATAGAATAGCATGTATGTGCAACGTTACAGAGCTAGATGAGAAAACTGGGTGGGACCTGTGGACCTTGTCCACATGCCTGAGCAGAAGTGTACAAATCCACATCTGGATTTTGCATATGCTTTCAAATGAATTCTGTAGTCTTATATTTACTGTGGTATCTTTTGTCTCACCTTATTTCTCTTTTATTTTGTTGCTTTGTAACATTTTTGTCTTTGTTTTTTTCTTTTCCTTCAGTACTAGTAGTAAAACAGCTCAGAAGCCTTCCGTTGACTGAAAGCAACTTTTTGTGGGCAATTGATGCGTGTTCTTGTCTAAAGTTGGAGTCTTCTAAGTCACAGATGTTTGTCTTATAAAACCTTCTGTGCTGCTTGTTGTCAGCCTAGGCCAAACATCACACATAGTGCCTGCACTTCTGACAGGAAACGTAACTATAGATTTGAACAATATTTGTCTGACTAATAAACAGTTCACAAATAATAACATCCTAAAGCATTAGTGTCGGGATGTAAAGATACCAGAAACTGTCTCTCTTCATGAGAAAATACGTGTCTGGTCATGATTGAGCTCTTCAGAAGCAAGAGTTGCGCTTACAGGTTTGAGATCCATAGAGGAATGATTTTTTCCCTATATTCTGTTTGCAGACTGTAGGAAAACCCACAGGTTTTATGAACCTAGAGAGATAGGGAATAGCTTTCCTTTTCAACACAATTCCAAAGAGACTCAGGAAGAAACAAGTAATATATACCGCTTCTGTGTTAAGGTTTAGGTTATCTTATTAAAAAAAAATATATATATTGACACACAAATGATTGGATGTTAAAATAACTTTACAACCTTGAGTTATACCCATGACTACTAAAGCATTATTTTCCTTAGAGCTGTAACATTGAAACATAGAAATTTCAGCTTAGAGTTGTTTCTCTACTTTGTAAACGTTGCTGTCTTTGCTCATGAAACTCTTAAGCTGAAGCTGTTTTCAGATAAATGTTCACATTTCCAAATGCAACTTGGAGAATTAAGGAAAAAGATACAATATTGTGAATAGCATCAATAGTAGTTAGGGTTTTCTGGCATGTGCTTCATACTCATTCAGTTGTCATTCATCTCCAATATGCGTTTTGTAAACATACGGAAATACTAGGTTCTTGAAGTTATAGTTATGATAATTGTCTTACAGAATCAAACGAGAGAATTTAAAGATAAGCTTTACATACTTTCAATACAAAAAAGTTAAACTCTGTTTATCGAGCTACTGATTTTTATAGGGATGTGTGTGATTTGGTCATTTCAATGTTTATAATCCTCAGTTAACACACTGTATCAGAACTAGGTGATTGATATTTCTGTATTTTACCCATGTCTGGTGCTTGATACACAGTATTTTTCATACATTTTAATCTAATTTTTTGTTGTTGTTGTTCTAGGTCACAATAACAGAACTTCAGGTAAGTCTTAATCTTTATTGATTTTTGCTGTCTAAATAATTCTGTTTCACAGCAGTTTGAAAGCAGAAATACTGCTTATAAGTTTGTGTGTGTTAAAAGGAGGAAGAGGTTTATTGAAAAAGTACCTATGATGTATCTTCAGCAGTTCTTTGACTTCCATCTGTGGCTGTTCTTTCAGGCACAGCTGGCACAGAAGACAACACTAGTCAATGATTCCAAACTGAAAGAGCAGGAATTCAAAGAGCAGGTAAGGGCTCTCTTTGAACAAGTAAAAAATATTCTTGTTTGATACTTTGTGTTTGCAATATTAAGAGATTTATTCTTTTCAAGTGATGATGTAGCATGTCTCCACGCAGGTACTATGGAAATAATATGCATGTAAAATGGTTTTGACTCATACTTGTTCTCAGAAGATCTGTGTGCTTTTCAAAGTACTCCTTTATCCCCTGAGAGTGAATATAATATCACATGCTTGTGATACAGGTTAGCGAAACATTTGCACAGTGAAAAATGGAACAATGCATTTAATGAAACTATGGATCTTTACTTTTTCTAAACTGAACCTTTTTTGATATTCAGGACAGTTTTTGTCATGTTTTCTTTTTTACGTACGTTTATGTGTATAAAATACACGTGTATATATATAAATACATACATATGCATAACATTTGCTATAGATATTCTTATGTGTATGTACATGTACACACATTTCCTTAAGTAGTTTAGGGGCAGTTTTTAATAACACAATTGTTAATGTTTTCCTTCCTTAAAAAGCAAATGTATTTTGCTTTCATAGAAAGAGATGATACTTAGCTGAAAACTGTTTCAATTACACTTATTTTAGCTGCTTGTGAGCATCATTTATAATTTTTGGCTGTTTTCTTTTTAGATTCATGTACTGGAAGACCAGCTGAAAAATTATGAGAAGAATTTGTACGTCACATCAGTTGGAACACGATACAGAGGTAAGTACACAGTTTTCATCACAAATAACTTTTTTGTTTGTTTAAAAGATATGCTTTGGTTTAGACAATTTATTAAAATGTGAATTTCTTTAAAACACTCATGTAATATTTTTATGGCATCTTATCCTTGTTTTGTCTTGTCTTGTTCTTCAGCATGTACTGCTAGGGAAAGGAAGAGGTAGGAAGAACAATAGAATAGAGTAGAATAGCATAGCATAGCACAGTTGGGCTGGAAGGGCCCTACAGCGACCTTGTCGTCCCACTGCCTGAGCACTGCAGGCTGACCAAAAGGTCAAGCATGGCATTAAGGGCATTGTCCAAATGCTTAAACCCCGACGGGCTGGGGGCATTGCCCGCCTCTCCAGGAAGCCTCTCCCAGGGTTTGACCACCCTCTCGGTAAAGAAACGTTTCCTCCTCCCATGTCCGAACCTCCCCTGACGGACGCAGCTCTGAGCCCTGCCCACACGTCCTGCCCCTGGGTACCAGGAGCAGAGCTCAGCACCCCCCTCTCCACGTCCCCTCCTCAGGCAGCTGCAAAGAGCAGGGAGGTCACCCCTCAGCCCCCTTCTCCCCAAATGAGACAAACCCTGAATCCTCAGCCGCTCCTCAGAGGCCAGACCTACCAGCCCCGGTGCCCTCCTCAGGACGCGTTCAAGGACCTTCACTGCCTTTGGAAGTTGTGGGGCCCAGAACTGCACACAACGCTCAGGGTGAGGCCGCAGCAGCCCTAAATCCAGCGGGATAATCCCCTCCGTTGCCCGGCTGGTCACGCGGTGTTTGATGGACCCCAGGATGGGGTTTGCCCTCTGGGCTGCCAGGGCTCACTGCTGGCTCCTGCTGAGCCTCCTGCCCACCAGCACCCCAGACCCCTTTCTGCATCTGCTGTTACTCCATCCCAGGTGAATTCAGCATTTGTTCTTGTTCAGTTTCATGCCATTGATAAAACTTAGATTCATATGACTGACTGATCTTATTTTTGTTTACACAGATGGAAACCTTCACCATACTGACGTTTCCCTCTTTGGGGAGCCTACTGAGTTTGAATACTTGAGGAAAGCGTTTTTTGAATATACGATGGGTCGTGAGACAAAGGTATGGAAAGTTGTATATGACGTGTGATTCAGGTTAGAATACAGTTTACCATCTTTGCTGTATAGATTTGAAGTACCATGTGTTTGTGATTTGTTATATGCCGCTTATTACTGATGCAGGATTCCATAGGTTTTCACATTTTTTTTCCAAAGAGGCATGATCCATACCTTAAAAACTTAGTCAGCATGCCAAGATGACTGGCAGGGGAAACAGGGATTGTCACATCTCTCACCAATGTACCTATGAAGACAAAAGCCTTTATAGATAGGTATAATTTTATTAGCAAAAGTCCTGTTGTCAGTCAAGCTTTAATGTGCTGTGAAAGCTGGCATGCGCAGTATTAGCAGAAGTGCTCTTTTGATGTCATCTCAACACAAACATGCTAAGTAACAGTTGGATTAAATAGTTTGTTAGTAGCTCTGAAGATGGTGAAATATCTCTTTAATTGTTTCTTAAAGATGTTTTATAGGGCTCCCAAATCTGTATGCCTTCTCTGGATAGTATTAATTTACTCTTAAAAGTAGTGAAAAACTGCACAGTATGCTTTTTGTTGTATGCTGCAAGCTTGTGAAATCATTCCTAAATTGGAATTTTACTAGCTTGTAACAATACTGATGCTTAGAGATTGACCAGTTCAAAAGAGGTATGTCATAACACAGTCCTTTTTCTTGGATGATAAATGCCATGTGGATAAATGTTTTCTATTTGTGGTTTGTTTTTTTTTTTCCTTCTCCCTGAAGTTCTTCCATTCTTTGTTGCCCTGCTTTCAACTTGGACTACTATTAAGCAAAGAGGTTTATGTAGGTTTCTATGTTAATTAACTTTGTTCTCATTGTGCTCTGTACAGAATAAAACTTGGACTATGCAGGACATCTTGTCCTTATGGGATTCCTCTTTCTCTTTTTATCCCATTTTTCACTTCAGTATTAATTCCTTTTTTATTAAAAACACAAATCCCTGATCCAAGAACCCAAGAATCACTAGTTACCTTCTGTTCACAAGCCAGTGGCTCATTGGACAGCTCTCCTGCTTTAATAACAAACAACTGAAATCATTAAAGAAAAATAGGTACATTACTGGATTTTATGATTTTGAATTATGAGGGACTTAGACAAGCAAAAATGCTAAAAAATGTCAGCAATATTTCAGCTTCAAACAAATCTTGAGGCAGCTGCAGATGACTTGCAGATAGCTGATGCATGTAGCAAATTTGCATCCTCTTTTTCAGTCATTAAGGCTGTTTATTCCTGATCTTCAAAACATTGCTATATATGCCTTAAAACTTTGGATTATAAAATTGTGAGGGCTTTCTTTTTCCTTTTTAACAGCGATGTACTAAAATTTGTGGTTGATTTCTTAAATAACAGCAACAAACGACAGTGTAAAGTAAATTCACTTTAGGTCTCTCTTCTTTCAGTTGCTTTGATTAAAAATTATAGGAATAAATATATATAATAAATTTAGGTATGTATGCATTTATATGTATGTATGTGTTTGTAGACATATGTATGTATTTATTTGCGCTGGAGATTACATTGTATTTAGCCAGAAGACACCATTACAAAATTGCCTGCATGCTGGCTCCTGAAAAAATGATGAATGTTGGGAGGAGAAAAAATAAATCAGAAGAGATAGACATCTGGTTCCTACAATAACTGGAGAAGGCATTGTTTGAAAGTTGATATGATTGAAAGGAGAAGCATATTTAAACAAACAACTGGCAGAAATAATTTTCAAAGCACTACAGTTTTTAACTTTGGGAATTTAGATGTGGATAGGTAAGGGAGAATGACAAGAGTTCTTAAAATTGATTGTGATTGTATTCTTCTATATTGTGTGTTCATAATAATTTGACGAGCAATTTTTAATTGAGGATAAATGTTCTGATGTCTTGTAAGAAGGGAAGAATTTCTGGTATTGTCCTCTATTATTAGCTGATCAGGATTGTAGCTGTACTGGCATTTAGTAATGGAAAATTAAAATGGAATGAAAGCTAGGATTTTTACTAATTTAAATATGAAGATACTTTGGTCTCTTCAGCTTCAAAAAGTGCTTTCAAGCTGATTTCATCTGCTGGTTTTCTTCCAACCGTTAGATGTTTTGCTGGAAGACACTGAGCTTAGTGTCTGGTGTCATAGGGATTGTACTATATAATCTTAAATTTACTGAGCTGTGTCTTGAAAACTGGTTTCATCCTGCTACACTGACTGGAAAACCATGAGCAATGACAGTGTGATTGATTTAATCTTTTAATACACAGTCTTAAATGTGTTAGTAAAGTCTTAACAAGTGCTTTTTTTTCCCCCAACGCAATCCTTGAGTTAAAAGATCTGTATTGGGATTTACCTCCTCACTACAGACATACCTTTCTCTCAGCTTTTGTTTTCCTGGACCAGACAAGGCATTTTTTCTAATTTTCACTTGTAATATCATTCTGATGGCCTTGCTCTGTGCAGGGTCTCCTTTTATAGTGCAAGTATCTATGCCGTGTCTCAAAGGTGGTTC